CCACTTCAGCCCAGGGAAAAAGAGCCATGAATCTCAACTGGCATGGGGAAGGTGGCTCCTGACTGGTGCAAGCCTTGCCTGACACAGAGAAAGCTGTTCCCAGCCTGGAGAAGCCAGGGATAGGGCCCAGCAGAGCAGAGTGGGGCGGGCTGGCTGGCTTCTTCTTCTCTCCTCCCTCCTTTGTAGATGGTCCTGTGGGGGCGAGGACTTTCTTCAGGGCTTCCCCCCTCCCAATCTACAACTATGTCTAAGTCATCTTGCAAACTATGTTGAGAGCCACAGGAATATCTTGGCAGGGCTCTTTTTGTAGAAAAAGCCCAGCAGGAACTAATTAGCATAATAGGCCACACCCAACAGCAGGCACTCATTAGCATATTAGGCCACACCCCTGACAGCACAGCTCATTACCACATTAGGCCGCACCACCATGTTACCAGAAGTATAGTTATCCATCCACACCCTCCTTTTGCTTGTTATTCTGTTTACCTTGTTTGTTGTCAAAACCCAGGGCTTTTTTGTATCAGGAACTCCTTTGCATGTTAGGCCACACACCCCTAATGTAGCCAATCCTAATGAGTTTCTGCTGTTGGGTGTGGCCTATTATGCTAATGAGTTCCTGCTGGGAGTGGTCAACTTGGGAGCCAGCTGGAACTCCTTTCCTGTGCGTTCCTGCCCCAAAATAGCCCTGATCTTGAGTAAATAAAGAAATGACTTTATGTTGTCGAAGGCTTTCACAGGTGGAGTTCATTAGTTGTAGATTTTCCAGGCTGTATGGTCATGGTCTTGGTCTTGTGGTACCTAACATTTCACCAGCAGCTGTGGCTGGCATCCTCAGAGGTATAACACAGAAAGATGGAGTACTGTATGTGTCAATGTGAGAAGGAAAAAATATTTATAAAGTTATAAAATTCATTTATAAAATAAATTTATTAAATAAATAAAGTAGGGGAACAGCGGGATAGAAATCAAATCAAATCAATCAATAAACTGCTACTTACTGTAGCAAAAGAAGAATACACAGCAAAAGATCAATCTCTGCAATGTGTGTCCAGAGAAAGTATATTTAAATGGCCCTCAATCAAAGCAGTTAGCATGAGCATGCCACATACATTCACCCAGTGTGTATAATTATAGTACACATAAAAGAAGAAGAGTGCTGCAAGGATGACTCAACAATATTCCTACCTACAGTTAGTGGGGAGGGGAAGTAAAATGGTGAAGTCTGTGCAACTATGTTAATAGGCCCAAAGAACACATCTAATAACATTTAAAATTGATATACAGGCAGAAATAAATTGCATTCTCACCACAGACTACAGAAAACCAAAAGAATGGAAAGACATCATTCAGCAGGCAAATTTCCAGTAACTCTTAATTTTAGCTTCTTTGTTTGAGGAAGTGTGTGTGTGTATAAAGTATACATAAATTAACCAGCAATTTAATGTGTGGCCTCTTTAAGAGAAATTTTTACAACTTCTGGAGAATGTATTCATTAACTGTGGCTGTGTAGGAGGAGTCTGGAAACCTCAAGTATGCATCAAGTCAGACATTCTAATGTTATTCAGCTGTTCTTTTTAGTCCAGTGGGAGTCTTCACTCCTTTAAGCAGAGCACAATACACCTTATAAAGAGCCAGTCCTAGTGGTTCATTTTAGTCATGTATTATTGAGCTGGACATACACTGGCTTTCTAGAGTTTTAGAAAAATGTCCACCCTCACCCTTGTACCTGAGATCCTTCATGCTCTACTCAGCCATGGTCCCTTCTGTACCTGTCTCTGGTAACAGGAATTATTAGTATACACTTTAGCCACCAGATTCTCTAGGCTGATCCTGGATTGGGCAGGGGGTTGGACTAGAAGGCCTGTATGGCTCCTTCCAACTATGATTCTGCCTCCCTTCATTTATAAAAACAACAACAGACTGGACATTTAAAAGCAGCTTTAGAGAGTGCAGAGAGTGATAAATTGGCAGCAGTAAAAAGTATCAATAGTAATCTCTGCAAGGATACTTTTCATATTCCCAAACTAATATATCGTGTTGTTAGAGCTCTAGTTTTATCATTACTAATTTACCCCGTATCTGCAGAGCAAACTGGAATAAATTCCTTTGGCATGTTATGCCTTGAATAAATCACATCTGAAGCTATCAATTTCCTGTCATAAAGCTGAAAGAAGCAATAATAGCATTTGATGAATGAACAAGGACAGCAGTAAAGCATCCTTCTTTTGTTTGGCTGATGAGCCAAAATGTATGAGTTGAAAAGCAGCAAACAGTGAGCATCCTTTGTTCTCTGCCATGCTGCCGCTAGCTATAAACATGCTGCCATTTCTCAGCTTAAATAGGTTGCTTTCAGTGCTCTCACTCAGCAAGTTACCAGATGGAGTCCATTTCAGACAACCTGATCAGAAAGTTACATTCTGTTTGTGATTTAGCTTTATGTTCCACTGGTACCACCCTAGAAGAGTGCAAAAGAACAAGGATACAATGGTTTCTTAAGGGTCTGTCTGCATGGCAGCTTCTTGTGATCTGGATTCAGAACTTTAGTGATACATCAGAAGTGGAAAGGAAATAGAACTAGAAAATATGTTGTCGAAGGCTTTCACGGCCAGAGTTCATTAGTTGCTGTAGATTTTCCGGGATGTGTGGCCGTGGTCTTGGCATTGTAGAACCTGACGTTTCGCCAGTAGCTGTGACTGGCATCCTCAGAGGTATACCACAGAAAGATGGAGTACTCTCTGGGTGCGTTCAGACGCGCCGTTTCAGCTGGCATAAACTGTACCGGTTGGAACCGGTGCAATTTATGCCAGCTGAAATGCGATCACACTCACCTCCTGTCTGCGGATCCCATCGCTGTATGCCCGTCCACACACAGTGGGCATTGGCGTTTTGGTTTTATTTAAACTCAGTTTGAGCATGCACATAGGCAGCCATCCATAGAATGGCGATCTTCACGCCTGCGCAAAAAAACCTTGTCTTACATTAAAGAGCAAAGTAGCCTCCCTGAGGTCCTGGACGCCTCCGAAACGCTAAACTAAGGCCCTTTTCTTTTTTTTTAAACAAACGCCAGGGCGAAGCTTCATCCAAGTGCATATCGCCGACCTTTAAAAAAAATGGCCGGTGAAAATCAGAAGCCTCAGGCTTCCGAATGGAAGTGGCTCTGCAACGGTGGA